CAACATACATATATATACATATATATTTTTTTATTGATTTCAGAGAGGAAGGGAGAGGGAGAGAGAGAAACATCAATGATGAGAGAGAATCACCAATCGGTTGCCTGCACATCCTACAGTGGGGATCGAGCCTGCAACCTGGGCATGTGCCCTGACCCTGACCAGGAATCGAACGGTGACTTCCTGGCTCATAGGTTGACACTCAACCACTGAGCCACACTGGCAGGGCTCATCATTGATGTTTCTGTCTCTTTCTTCCTGTCCCCTCCTCTCTGAAATCAATAAAAATATATTTATAAAAAAATTACATATATATATCTATAATAATAAAAGCACAATATGCTAATTAGCCCAGACAGCCGGACGACCTTCTGGACAAAGCCAGGGCTGCGAGGGCCGAGCCCCTTGCACGAATTTCGTGCATCGGGCCTCTAGTGTGTATGTATGTGTGTGCGTGTGTGTGTGTGTGTGTGTGTATTATATATATATAGCCCGGCCGGCGTGGCTCAGTGGTTGAGTGTTGACCTCACTAAAAATGTTTTTATTATTTATTTATTTTTTAAAATATTGATTTCAGAGAGGAAGGGAGAGGGAGAAAGAGATATAAACATCAGTGATGAAAGAGAATTATTGACCAGCTGCCTCCTACATGCCCCCTATTGGAGATGAATCCCACAACCCAGGCATGTGTCCTGACTGGGAATTGAACTGTGACTTCCTGGTTCATAAGTTGATGCTCAATCACTGAGCCACATCGGCCGTGTAAGGAATCTAACATTTTTTTTTCTAAGATTTTTTTTTAAGGGACATGGAAGCATTACAACACATTCCTTTTTAAAATTTATTTGAATAGGTTATTCAAATACATGGGACAGAATTCAAAAGGTACAAAAAGGCAGACAACTCCAGGTTGCCCTGCCCGGGCTCTTCATGGGCTGAAGGTCCGAATGCCTGGCGTTTGCGGTTTCCTGGATTCTGTCCAGCTGCCCTCTTTGAGGCTGTCCTAATTGACACCGGGCCACAAGGGATTTGAAGATGTTCCTCCATAGCTGCACCAGCTCACAGCTTTATCAGCCCCTTTAATCTTCCCTGGTCTGGGAAGTGGAATCCTATAGCCTGGTAGCTTGAATTTGCATTTCTCAGGTTCTCAGCGAGGCTGTGTGAATATGTCACATACTCAGTAGCAGTCTCTATCCCCCCTCTTCCCACCTGATTGTCAGTGGTTCTCAACTAGAGACGGGGTGTGTGTGTGTGTGTGTGTGTGTGTGTGTGTGTGTGTGTGTTTTAATGGCTTTACTGAATTGACATGTACTTCTCAGACCATGCTATTCGCCAATGGAGAGAGTTTTGGTTGTCACATCCCAGGGAGCTACTGGCACCTAGTGGGTAGAGGCCAAGGATGCTGCTAAACCCCAACACCCAGGCACAGGACACCCCCACAACACAACAAAGAATGATCCACCCAAGTCAGTAGCAGGGAGGTTGAGAAACCCTGTGGACCCATTTCTCGTCCTTTCTTGCAAGGAGCTCACAGTTGAGCTGCAGAAACAGGAAGAGCCTCACAGAAAAAGGACAATCTTGATCACTTCTGGACCACGAATGACCCCAAGACAGACACTGGGTGCCTCATATTTGTCAGTGACTTCAATTAACCATTTTATTTTTGTTTATTTTTTAAAATTTAATGTTGAAAGTGTTACAATGTCCCATTTCCCCCCTTATTAACCCCCACCCATTCCCACCTCCTCCGCAGGTCTTCACCGCACTATTGTCTATGTCCGTGGGTTATGCATATATGAGTATAAGTTCCTGGGTTAATCTCTTCCCTCACCTCCCCCCCCCTTCTTTCTGAAATACGTCAGTCTGTTGCATGCTTCAATGTCTCTGGATCTATATTGTTTGCCAGTCTATTTTGTTCATTAGATTCCACATATGAGTGAGATCATGTGATACTTGTCTTTCTGACTGGCTTATTTCATTTAGTATGATACTCTCCAGGTTCCTCCATGCTGTTGTTGCAGAGGGTAAGAGATCCTTCTTTTTTTTTCTTTTTTAAAAATATATTTTATTGATTTTTTACAGAGAGGAGGGGAGAGGGATAGAGTTAGAAACATCGATGAGAGAGAAACATCTATCAGCTGCCTCCTGCACACCTCCTACTGGGGATGTGCCCGCAACCAAGGTACATGCCCTTGACCGGAATTGAACCTGGGACCTTTCAGTCCGCAGGCCGACGCTCTATCCACTGAGCCAAACCGGTTAGGGCAGAGATCCTTCTTTTTTACAGCTGCAGAGTATGTCATTGTGTAAATGTACCACAGTTTTTTATCCACTCATCTGCTGATGGGCACTTGGGCTGCTTCAATCACTTTGGGTTTCTTTTATTTTTTAAGTATATTTTTATTGGTTTCAGAGAGGAAGGGAGAGGGAGAGAGAGATAGAAACATCAATGATGAGAATCATTGACCAGCTTCCTCCTGCATGCCCTCCACTGGGGATCAAGCCTGAAACCTGGGCATGTGCTCTGATCGGGAATTGAACCATGACCTCCTAGTTCATAGGTCACGCTCAACCACTGAGCCGTACTGGCCAGGCCAATCACTTTATTTTTTATTTATTTTTAAAATACATTTTTCTTGATTTCAGAGAGGAAGGAAGAGGGAGAGATAGAAACATCAATGATGAGAGAGAATCATTGACTGGCTGCCTCCTACACGCCCCCCCACTGGGGATTGAGCCCACAACCCAGGCATGTGCCCTTGACCAGAATCGATTCTGGGACCCTTCAGTCTGCAGACACTCTATCCACTGAGCCAAATTGGCTAGGGCCACTTTATTTTATTTTATTTTTTTTATACTAAGTATGTTATTTGTATGCTGTTGCCAGTGTATATAAAATAATTATCCTTGTGAAATAGAAACTCATGAACATTCATAGAAGTAGATGCTAAGGACTGACAAAAGCAGAAGTTTGAATAGTATGGCACATGTTTCAGGGATAAGATTTTTGTACAGGCTTCAAATTCAGCTCTCTGAATCTTCATTGGTTCATGAAAAGTGGTTTAGAACACCTTCAAAGATTCATTTCCCGTCGAAACCGGTTTGGCTCAGTGGATAGAGCGTCGGCCTGCGGACTGAAAGGTCCCAGGTTCGATTCTGGTCAAGGGCATGTACCTGGGTTGCAGGCACATCCCCAGTAGGAGATGTGCAGGAGGCAGTTGATCGATGTTTCTCTCTCATTGATGTTTCTAACTCTCTATCTCTCTCCCTTCCTCTCTGTAAAAAATCAATAAAAAATATATTTAAAAAAAAAAAAAGAAAAAAAAAGATTCATTTCCCTACAAAAAGGAACAACCTTTCTGGGGTCTGAAGGGATTGGTACTTGAAGATACTCCCGTCAGCAGCGGGTCACGTTGAGCATTCTGCAGACAGAATTTTTCCAATCGGCAGCTGCCTGGAAAACCTTCACTCGGTTGAGCCAGGCCTCCAGCCTGAGCGGTTGAACCACTTTCTCCATAGCGGCGATGCTGGAGGAACCAGACCTGATGCACAGGAGAGCTGTGTGTGAGGACGGGTAGGGGTGTGAAGGCAGGAGGATGTGGGGGAGCCAGTGAGGAGTTGACGTCAATAGTCCAGGCAGGAAGTGGTGGAAGTGATGGTGGTGGGTCCCCAGTTCATCAGTCCTTTAGGGAGGAGGGGACTGAGCCACAGAGAGTGGAGCAGCTGCCTGAACCAAATGTAGGCGCCCCTCTTCCTCCTCCAACCCCCAAAGCCAGCATTTCCCCATATGCAATCCACGTCATAGCAGGGGTGCTGGCTATGTTGCAGGAGAAATGCTAAACATGGTACATTTATTAGGTCATTCAGTCCCCATGACAACCCTGGGAGGTCGGTCCTTTTATCGTTCCTGTTTTACAGGTGGGGAAACCAAGGCACAGAGCAGTTCACCCCAGGTCAGACAACACTAATAACAACTGTAACTTTTATGGAGAACCTGGTGTATATCCAGCCCCGTCCTGCAAAGCCTGTTGAATCCTGATAAACAGAGGTGGCAATTGGTGCTATTTCTCCATACGATGAAGAGGAAAGTGCCCCTTGCTTGAGGTCACCCAGCTAAACAGGCCTGGGAGCTGCATCTCCACTCCTTTCCTGGGACCAGAGCCTGGTCCCTGTGCCACTCAGTGTTCCAGGAGCTGAGGACACGGGGGAGGAGGGGAAGCAGGGCTACGGGGACGGAGCCATCTTGCAGGGGAGAAGGACCATAGCAGAACAATAAATATACAAGATGTCTAGGAGGGGTCTGTGCTGCAGAGAATGATGAAGCTGATAGAGGGATGAGGGGCAGATCAAACTTTAAGATCAGGTGGTCAGGGAAGGGGAAAAGGAGATAGAGCAGAGGGAACCCCAATGCCCAGGCCTGAGAAGGGATTGCAGGTATATTCAAGGACCAGCAAAGAGGCCAGAGTGGCTGGGGTTGGATGGTGTGCCAAGAGGGGGTCCAGAACATGGGGGCCTTGAGGGCCGTGATGAGGACCTTGGCGTTGAATTAAGCCACCGGAAGGCTCTGAGTAGAGGGGAGATGTTATTTGACTCTGGTCCCTCTGGCTATGTGTGAGGACAGGGATAGGGGTGTGAAGGCGGAAAGGTGTGGGGGGAGCCAGTGAGGAGTTGACTTCAACAGTCCAGGCAGGAAGTGGTGGAAGTGATGGTGGTTGGACCAAGATGTTGACAGTTGAGAGAATAAGAAGTGGTAGTCTGAAAATATATATATATATATTTTTTTTTCCCCTCAGCTTTTTAAAAAAAATTTTATTTATTTTTTTATTTTTAAGTATATTTTGATTGATTTCAGAGAGGAAGGGAGAGGGGGAGAGAGAAACATCAATGATGAGAGAGAATCATTGATTGGCTGCCTCCTGCACGCCCCCTACTGGGGATCGAGCCCACAAACCGGGCATGTGCCCTTGACCAGAATCGAACCTGGGACCCTTCAGTCCACTGGCTGACACTCTATCCACTGAGCCAAACTGGCTAGGGCTAATTATTGATTTGAGAGAGAGAGAGAAGCATTGATTGGTTATTCCACTTATTTATGCATTCATTGGTTGCTTCTTGTACGTGCTCTAACCAGGGATCGAACCTGAAACCGTGGCGCATCGGGAGAACGGTCTAACCAACTGAGCTACCTGGCCAGGGCTTTCCCTCAGCTTTTCTTTTACAACCTTGATATTTTTGAAGAATCCAGGCTAATTTTTTATTTTTTTTTTAAGAAAAAGCTTTAATTGTGAGGTCGAATGGCAAGGAGACAAGAGGCAGAGCTCAAATCTGTCTCTCAGGCCCAGCCAATGTGGTTCAGTGGTTGAGCGTTGACCTATGAACCAGGAGGTCATGGTTCAATTCCCAGTCAGGACACATGCCCTGGTTGCAGGCTCCATCCGCAGTAGGGGGTGTGCAGGAGGCAGCCCGTCACTGATTCTCTCTCATTGATGTTTCTATCTCTCCCTCTCCCTTCCTCTTGATAATCAATAAAAAAAATTTTAAAAAAAATTAAAATTGTTAAAAAAAATCTGTCTCCCAGGCTAATTTTTTGGTATAATGCTCTTCAGGTTGATTAGATTGATTAGACACAATTGTCCCTCATGATTAGATTCAGGTAATCCACACACCTGTGTCCTGTCCTTTTTTTTTTTTTTTTTAATTTATTGATTTTTTTAGAGAGGAAGAGAAGGGGATAGAGAGTTAGAAACATGGATGAGAGAGAAACATCTATCAGCCGCCTCCTGCACAACCACTACTGGGGATGTGCCCACAACCAAGGTACATGCCCTTGACCGGAATCGAACCTGGGACCTTTCAGTCCGCAGGCCGACGCTCTATCCACTGAGCCAAACCGGTTACGGCTGTCCTGTCCTTCTTAATACATCACATCAGGAGGTACATGGTGTCTGTCTGTCTCATTACTGCACATATTAGCTTTGATGCCTAAGTGCTGGTGTCCACCAGGTTTCTCCACCATAAAGTTACTCTTTACAATGAATATCTTGTGAGGAGGCACTTTAAGACTGTGTAGATATCCTGGACCTCATCGATGTTCCTCCACAGGTTTTAGCATCTATTGATTTTAGCTGCTGTTCTAAGATAAGAAGGAAGTTTCCTTCTCCTTTGTTTGTTTTTAATTAGCATGGACTCATGGATTTCTGTTTTATTCAATGGTTATAATCTGCAATTGTCATATTTAAATGTTCAAATCATTCCAGATTTGTCCAATGGGAGCCCTTCCAGGCTGGCGTCTGCGGGGTGGGATTTATTCGGAAGGTAGCATTTCCTGGTGGATTGGATGGGCCATGTGTGAGAGAGGAGAGGAGACAGGGGTCTTTCAGCACATGTTTATGGCCAGGAACTGGGAGTAAAGCTGTGATAACATCAGGCAGAAGTCCCCACTCTGTGAACCTCATGAGTGGTGGCAGTTCCTGGGAATAGGGGACTGGTGGAGGGATGGTGCAGCTTTTAGGAGGGGGAATCAGGAGGTTGGTTTTGGACAGGTTGAGCTGAGATGTGGCAGAAAAGCCTCTGCTTCCAGTCCTCCCTCTTCCTGTCACCCCACCTCCCTATGTAATGACTCCCCATTCTTCTTTACCCAACAGCCTGGACAATGCAGACTCCACTGCCCAGTCCTGTGCCTGTACTCCGGCTGCCCCGGGGCCCCGAGGGCTTGAGCAGAGGCTTTGCCCCCGATGGACGGAGGGCCCCCCTGAAGCCAGAGGTTCCTGAAACCCCGGAGTCTCCTGTAGTTCACGAATGTCAGGAATCCCAGGAACAGCGGGCCCGAGCCCTCCTCCGGGAACGCTACCTCCGCAGCCTGCTGGCCATGGTGGGTCGCCAGGTCAGCTTCACCCTGCATGAGGGTGTGCACGTGACCGCCCACTTCGGAGCCACTGACGTGGAGGTGGCCAACTTCTACGTGTTGCAGCTGCAGACTCCAATAGGCGTGCAGGCTGAGGCACTGCTCCGGTGCAGTGACATTATTGCATATACCTTCAAGCTATAAAGACATTATTGTGGTCACCTGCTGCCTTAGGCCCAGCCACAAATTCCCAGCCTTCCAGCAGTTCCAGATCTCTGGGCCTCATAGAGTTCGGAATTCCCTTGGGGTTTTGGGCCAAGCTCCAAGCAACTGACTTCTGCAGGTCTGCAGTGTCTAGTCAGTAAAATTCTGCAACCCCACAAGTTCTAGATCCCATTGAAAGGAATGCTCTACCTCACAGAACTTTACACTCTACAGAAATGTGGGTCTTGGGACAGTTCCTGCAGACTGGAGGTGGGGTGGGGTCGGGGAGCGGGCAGTGGGAATAAAGGAAGGCAGATTGCAGAGTGGGAAATTGTTTATTATAGAAGTTGCAAAGTTCAGTCACCCTGAAGAAATTCCCCAATACTACCCTCCTGCCAAAGAACAATGATTATTACAGGAAAATCCGCCTCCTGTTTTTCTTTTTGTTGTTGTTTGTTTTAGTATATTTTTATTGATTTCAGAAAGGAAGGGAGAGAAACATCAAAGATGAGAGAATCATTGACCAGCTGCCTCCTGCACGCCCCCTGCTGGGGATCAGCCCACAATCCCGCATGTGCCCTTGACCAGAATGGAACCACAGGCCCAAGGCTCTGTCCACTGAACCATACCAGCTAGGGCTTTTTTTTTTTTTATAAGTGTATCCAAACAGGGATGAAGCCAGATTTAGGGGATGGGAGGGTAGCTGTCCAAGGACTGAATCCCATGGAGCTGGGCCAAGAAGGGCACATCAGAAAGCTGGGAGAAACTTGGATAAAGGTGCAGGGATTGGACTGCTCCTACCCTCAGGGAACAGCTGGAGCGACCTGGATAACAGACTTGGATGTTCTGGACTAAATTTCTTTATTGGGTGGGAGGGGATGTACATAGCGAGGGATGCGCTCCTGCGTGGCCTGGGTGGTGTGACCACCGCAGATTCGCTTCCCCTACCCCACGTGTGGAAAGGTCGGACTCTGCGCGGCGCCATTGAGAAAATGGCTGAGGATTAGGGACTAGGGTGAAGCTTCACCTCTTCTCCATTTTGCTCCAGCTCTGTGGCATGGCCGTCCAAGTCACTTGCTTCACTTAGCCCCGTCACTAGTAATCTTTTGGCAGGTTCGTTTTAATAAAGTAATTTCTGCCCCCTTTGTAGTCCCACCAACTTGAAAATGTAGGTGGAGATCCATTAAATAAATGTAGATGGAGATTTGCTTCGTTCCTCTTCAGTCACGAAAGTGCGGTGGCCAATAATGTCGGAGACAAGTGGAAAGTCTCAGCTTCCACATGTCCATTCACAACGCCACCTCTGGTGAGTCCCTGGCCTAGCTCTCGAGTTGCCTTGGCAACGACGTCGCTCGCTCCTCCCCAAGGCCCCTTTTTTGGGTTTTAGCCCCGCCTTTCCCCCCCCGGATTGCTGCGAGGGCTGGGGAAAGCTCAGCGAAAGTGCGGAGGCGAATATTAAGTGACTGAATTGAGTCGGGGCGCGGGAGGGTGGGGGCGTGGAAAGGCGTGCGGGGGCGTGGCTTGAGCTCGTGCCGGTTTCGCTCCGGGCTTAGTGATCTACCTGCTCCATCGCTCGGTATTTCGGTTGGCAGATTCCTCCTGCTTTTGGAATTCCTTCCTTCGCCCACCCGACCCCCTTTTAAAATCAAGGCAATGAGCTCACACTTATTTTAGTTTATAAACTTAAATCGTATCTTATACAACGCTATCCAGCTACAGAAAATCGTTGATGAAACTGCAGTCTGCAAATGAAAGGCTACAGACTAGCAAGGGGGCACGAGCTCGGTCTCCAGGTAGAGGACCCTCGGTCAGCACCCGTCACCAGCACTCACATTCCACACAGCTATCACCTTTCAAGTTCTCCACCCCTTCACCTCTCTCCTTCTCAGTTGGCCTAGCCCGGGCAAGCAGATGCTTTTTTATCTTTATCGACTGCCCTCCCTTATGCAGTGTCTGAGCTAGTGACGAAAGTGCGCGAGCCCGACCCACAGCTCTCAGGACGGAGGCGGGAAGGCGGGGGGCGGGCGGCTCGGGTTCGCGCGTGCGCGCTGCTCCGGGAGACGGCGTCCGCCTCGCCCCGCCCGCCGCGCTCTGCAGTTCCGGCTCTGCGGATTCCGCGCTCACGTTTCTTTCTCCCGTGGCTCCAGCTGCCTTTTGTTCTCCCACTTCAGCACCCCGCGAGGCGACTCTGCTTGCGGAAAGCTCAGATCGATTTTCTGCTTTTCTTAGTACGCGGTGGGCTCACCCGGCCTTTAGCGAAAGTGCGGCTGCGAACAAGCAGGCGGACGCGGAGCTCGGGGGAGGCGCGCTCGGGCTCCCGGTGGCGGCGACGACTACGACGACCAGGAAAGCGGACGGAGGCGGCGCCTGAAAGAGCGGCGGAGCCCATGCCCCGAGACGGCGGGCGGGCCCGGAGAGACAAGTCCGGGGCCCGGGGCATGTCCCCGGGGCCCCCGTGAGGAGGCGGCGGCGGCGGCGGCGGCGATGGAGAACCCGCCGCAGGAGGCGCCGCCCGGGCCGGGCGCGGACGGCGACGCCGAAGAGGCCCCCGCCGAGGCCCAGTCGCCCAGCCCCGCATCGTCCCCGACCGACGGGCGCCTCAAGGCTGCGGCCAAGCGCGTCACGTTCCCCTCCGACGAGGATATTGTGTCCGGAGCGGTGGAGCCCAAAGACCCCTGGAGACACGGTAACTACAACCGAGGAGAGGGGGCGGGCGCGCGGGGCCTCTGGAGCCGGTGCGACGCCCAGCACGCAGGTGCCGCTCAGTAAATTGCACCTAATGATGACTTCAGGCGACAGTCGTCAGTAGAGATGGGATGGATGGCTATTGGGTCGGGAAGGTGAGACGTAGCCCGTTTATGCCCACCCCCACCTCCGCCTGATGGTTTTAGGAATTAACACGATGAGCCATTAAAAGAAAGTTTGGTGGCCTGGGAGATCGGGAGGACTTAGCCTTTGAGCTCATAGTTCCCCCCGGAGCAGGATCGAGAGAGCTAGCCGGGGAGGAGGAGGCCAGCACGGGCGCTGGAAGGGCAGTTGGAGAAGTCTGCTGGGCCCATGGGATGAAAGCGGTTCCGTTTCCTGGTCTGAAGCCTGGGGGGAAGGCAGGGCACTAAACCTGGACTGTGGCCGCAGCGGAGGCGGTAAATCCTGGGGTCGGGGAACGGGAGTCAAGGTAAACTCGCAGAAAAGGAGCAGAATGGTGGTCCATTGGGGGTGGGTGAGAGAGTCAGGTGTTAGCTCTTGGCGTGAAGAAGAAGGAAAGTCACTTCGTGCTTGGAAGCAATACAGTGGGGCCTTGACTTGCGAGTTTAATTCGTTCCGAGACCGAGCTCGTTAAGGAGCTCGTTAACTCAAATTACTCTATCAACTCAATGCAAAAAATCGGCCGAGAGACAGCTGGTATCTCAAAAAACTCGTTAGTCGGGACACTCGTAAGTCAAGGCCCCACTGTAGTTGGTAGTCGTTCAGGAGCAGAGGGACTTTGGGGCCTGGGTAGAGAAGGCTCTTCCCCCCCCCCCCCACCCGAGAAAGAATTGGGGAATTGGAGTTGCTGGTTGGTAGAAGGTGAGAACATGGGAGAAGTTGGGTGGGGGAGGTGTTGGGGGAGGAAGCAAGTCTGTGGACTGTAGGTCCCTGGAGGAGGTCAGGTCAGCGTTGGAGCTGAGAGGGCAGCTAGCTGGAGGAGTGTTTTACCCGAGGGCTGGGAAGGTGGACAGTCTCTCCTGTGATGGACGGCAGCCGTGAGGGTGAGTCCGTTCCTGTGCTGGGGCGGAGAGCCCACAGGGAGAGGGAGCAGGCTGGCCCTGGCTGGGTAGAAGTTGGTCTGTTGGCCCTGGGGAAAGAGGAGGGACTGCTGCTGGTCGGAGGCAAAGGAGGACTTGGTGCCTTCGGTGTGAGAGTGAGAAACATGGTAACTGGAAGCTGAACACACAGAGCGTCCACCATCAATGCCAGTGTGACTAGTTACTGCTAAAGAGACAGGGGTTAATTTAAGATTCTTTTTTATGTTTTTATTTTATTTTTTTTAGTTTTTTAAAAATATATTTTACTGATTTTTTGACAGAGAGGAAGGGAGAGGGATAGAGAGTTAGAAACATCAATGGGAGAGAAACATCAATCAGCTGCCTCCTGCACACCCACTACTGGGGATGTGCCCGCAACCAAGGTACATGCCCTTGACCGGAATCGAACCTGGGACCCGTCAGTCCCCAGGCCGACGCTCTATCCACTGAGCCAAACCAGTTAGGGCAGTCTTTTTAAAAATACATATTTTTTATTGATTTCAGAGAGGGAGAGGGAGAGAGAGAGATTGAAACATCAATGATGAGAGAGACTCATTGATCCGCTGCCTTCTGCACGTCCGCTACTGGGGATCAAGCTTGCAACCCGGGCTTGTGCCCTTGACCGGAATCGAACCCGGGACCCTTCAGTCTGCAGGCCGACGCTCTATCCACTGAGCCAAGCTGGGTAGGGCATAATTTGAGATTCTTGACATTGGAAGCCAGCCAAGTTCTTGCTTGGGCTCTAGGCCCCAGGGATAGGTGGTCACTTTTGGGTTGGAGAACTTGGGGGGCTGGGGCTGAGGAAGGGAAGAGTGAGAGTGGGCACTGGCTGTAGCATGGTATTCAGTGCAGAGAGCTCAGAGCAGGCAGGGGAAAGACCTGGGGAGACAGCTGGGTGGTGAAGAGCAGAGGCTCCAGTTCAAGTCCTGACTCCATTTACCCACTTCGTGACCTCAGACTGGTAACCTAATTCCTCTGAGCCCCAATTTCCTCATCTGTAAAGTGGGTGATAATACCCATGTCTTCCTGGCTGGTGTGGCTTTGACCTGTGAACCAGGAGGTCATGGTTCGATTCGTGGTCCGGGCACATGCCCTAATTGCGATCTTGATCCCCAGTCAGGGACGTGCTGGAGGCAGCCAATCAATGATTTTCTCATCATTGATGTTGCTCTCTCGGAAGTCAATAAAAATATATTAAAAACAACCACCACCATGCCACAGGATTTAGGAGAGGAATAAATCAGATTGTGTGTGAAAAGTTATTGGCCAAGGTGAGCCTTCATGAAGTTGCAGTTGTTACTGGTCATTTTAGGGGTGACGTTAGTTGACATTGGTCATTTTAAGAGTCAGTCTAGAGGAGTTGGTTCACAGGGTTGGGGCCTGGATGTGTCTGCTTCACAAGCTTCCAGGAGAGGGGCAGAGATGGGACTCACTGGGCCTGGGGGAAGATGGTCAGTTTGTGAGCTAGAGGGTCGTGGGGGGCAGTTAGAGAGTTTGGCACAGGGTGGGGTGAAATTTCTGATCTGCAGGTTCTCAGAAGAGGAGCAGCTGTGGGTAACCAACCAGCTGTCTGTCTGGCTTTGAGTAAGCCGTTCTTCTCTGAGCGTCCTGTTTCCCTCGGCAAATGGCGCTAATTGCTACCAGGAGGTAGTTGGGAGGATTAAATAAGATACTAGTCCTTGTACGTTCCTGCTGTTCCCCAGGCAGAATCATTTTTGCTTGTTTGTTTGTGTGTTGTTGTTTTTAAATATATTTGTATTGATTTCAGAGAGGAAGGAAGAGGGAGAGAGAGATAGAAACATCCATGATGAGAGAGAATCATGGATCGGCTGCCTCCTGCATGTGCCCCACTGGGGATCATGCCCACAACCCGGGCATGTGCCCTTGACCGGAATCAAACCTGGGTCCTTTCAGTTCGCAGCCGAAGCTCTGTTCACTGAGCCAAACTGGCTAGGGCTGTTTTTGTTTTTTTGTTTGTTTTGGTGGGCAGTCTTGGAGAGGCAGTGAAGGAGTTTGAGGGAAGGGAAGAATGTCAAGACGAGTCAGCGGGAGTCTGGTTGCCGATTGGTCTGTGCTAAGTAAGCGGTGAGGATGCCTTGCAGGCGGGAGGAGTCTAGTTCCTGGAAGTTTAGAGGGAGCCTGCAAGGACTGGGCAGGACGCACCCTTTGGAGGAGTCAGTGGGTCTTGGGTGGGAGGTGATGACGTGGAGAAATGGGTCAGTGTATGGACTGGAAGAGTTGGTTTGTCTCGACTGAGGAGAGGGGTTAAGGAGTTGGTCTGGCAGTAAAGGAGTTGGATGATCTTGGGCGCCAGGCAGGGAAGGGGGTCATTGACAATGGGATTTACGGGACAGAACATCGGATTTCTGTCAAAGCTGAAGAGCAGGTGGCTTGCGGGGG